GGAACTTTGCTGATCACTGACTGAGGTTTTAACAACGTGGAGGAACACATACGCGCTTCGTATATTCCACGGCTTTGTGGTTACTCATGGAGGGCACCTTTAGAGGGAAAAAGAAAACACGTCAACACATTGAGCAATGAGATTCCAGTAGAAGTCACAAAGCTTAGAATTTAGTCGTACAAATGCAATAGAGCTCATGTCAAATTTCGGCAACGTAAATTTATTAATCAATAACAATTTATCTGGCGGGTTAGATTGTTATGTGCACAATCCTGTGCAGACGCTCACTGTCTTACGATCGAATCCCATTGGAGTCTGACTTTAATTTTTTTTTTTTTACTTGTAATTGTAATTAAGTAGATGCTGGGCGTTTTTCACAGTAGCTGAAAATCAGGATTTTCAATTGGTTCAGAAGTCTTGCGATCACAGTTGTAACTTTTATAATAAGTGCAATGACCAAATAGGGAACATTCCGATGTCGCTATGCAAGGAAAGAAGATAAACGAAGTTAAATAAAGAACAAGAAAAAATAAGAAATTGAGAAAAATAAAGGATAAATGGAAAGAAACAAGGGACCTGTTGAAGAGAGGATTAAGGAGAAAATGCAAAGACACACACAGTGAAACTGCCTATCAGGTTGTGTTGTAACGGAGCAGAAAATTCTTTTCATGTTATCGTGAAAGTTCGCGCTTTAATAGTTAATAAATTGGGATTCAGTTTATCTACGCCATAACATAATATTAAAAAGTGCACAGGAATTATGAGAGCGTAAAAATACCATCTGAAATGGTTACAGATAAATATTACAGGCCTTATCATAAACATTTAAGGACCTCAAATCCTACTTAACATTTAAGAACCTTCGCCAATCTGAACTGTCCGTCAAGTTACTTCCAAAACGATTTAAAAATTATAAACAACTTTTCGTCGCTTGAGTGTTTGGTTGATGAACATTTGCTGTGAAGGAATTTTGGGTCTTGTAGGATAATATTTATGAGTGTGAGTGTTGTTATTGCCGTTGCCATGGTAATACTGTAAAGGGGTTTTGGGCCTTACAGAATAATATTTATGACTGTGTGTGTTTACTGACCTGCCGAAATTTGTGCGGGGCCCAAACCAGTATGGACCTGGTGACGTTGAAAAGAAATCCTCGTTCTGCCTAAGACCGATAGATTCATGTCTTACTATTATTATACTACCTACTAGTCTGGTACTCACAGTTGGCTCCTCCCACTGCAATTTTCTAAACAAAATTGTTCCCATGCAACAATATTTCACTCTGCACACAAAATTATCGGAGTCCGCTTCATAACTCCCCTTTGAAACCTCCTTACATTCGAATTAGACAAGACTGGGAATCTGTAAGATACAGTTTCCACAAGTGTTCTTTTGCAAATTTTTAATTTTGAAAATCTCAAAGCTAAAAAAGATTACCAGATCATAAACAGGCCTCGCTGCATCTACCATTGACAAGTTGGCTCGGCTGCCATGTTGGTATTGCTCATTGTAGGAAATTCTAAAGTTGGTGGTTAGAGTAATCCCCAATGGCATGATGTTCATACAAAATTTCATCAAAATCCGTAGGGTGGTTCTCGAGATTAATCATGCGGTCAGAATCATTAATTTCGAGTACATATGGGAAGGAATTATGACATATATTTCCTCTAAATGATTTAACTTCCATGTTTCATATTTGCGTGATGTTCCTTACGCAATCCGCATGTTATATCCATCTTATCCTTTCACGGTGGTGAAAATGTCTTGATGTTTGTATTCTGGATTGTAACATTCGCGACATGTAAACTTACAAGCAGATATCAGTTTTTCTCAGGAACATACTGATTTTTTATTTATAAATTCAGCCCTGAACATGGAGGCAATATGTCCCTCTGAAGCAGTGGTATTTATTTAAAAGTCCAAGTTACTACCCAGAAGACGAATATCGAGAAAAGGTGAATTATTAAACTCGTCCTCGTGTATTTTCTTCCGAAGTCCGGCACTTCGCTCTGCGCTGCTCAGTTGGTGTCCCTGGCACTGCCAACAGGCGTAAGAGTAATCTCTAAGACGAACTGGACGTCATGTGCAGGAAATGAGGACGAAATGTGCCTGCCACTCCAACAAACCTCCTCTTCTTCCCTGAGGGGGTGAAATTCTCCACCCCTTTACTCGGAGATGAAGACAAAAGGACGACAGACAGCGGCGAAGGGTTGACGAAGAGATGGGGGGGGGCTCAAGATGGTGGATTTGAACAGTGTAAAGGCCACCTAACATAACGATGGTCAGAGATATGCGTTCGCGCCGATCCCTAGGGAAGAGCTTCCCTGCTTCTGTTGTGTGTTTGCCCTTAGTAAAAGCCACGATACCGAGATAGAACTCTGCATTCTTTGAACAGACGTCGGCGACTTTAATCGATACATATGTTACATCGAAATATGACTTGGCATTGATTCGTTCACTTGGGGGGAGGGGGGTTGGACCTGGAGTTAGCTGGAGATGACTGTCTTCCTGGATACTGCACCATGAAGTTTGGTAGATCTGATTGGCATTTCAGAGGCTTTTGCTGCCTCGGTCATCAGGGTGATAGTGCCGGCCAATCTATACCAGAATACACAGCGCAATATCCCAGGAAATAGACGTCTTCATATTCGCCGCTGTGATAAACTGAAATCTCACCTGGAGTTGGTTAGTTCTTACACTTCAGGTCCCACAAAGTGGATTTTATATGTGCGCGATAGCTAAGGGAAAGTTACTCTTTTATTCAGACACATTAGGTAACTGGAAAAATTCGGGAGCCATAACTTGTAATCTTCGCCTATTACTGAGGCGATCAAATCAAGGAGGAGAAAGGCGGGGAATGCAGCACGCATGGTGAGATCCGAATGATCTCTTTCCATTCAAAGTTCGTCATTATTCTGTAAGCTATCAGAAGAAATGAACGTAAGATCACTGCACTGAGGCTTCGGCGTGTCCTGTAACAGCAACGCCCCTTCCGAGGACAACCGTCTTATCCGGAGTTAAGCGGAAAATATTCCATCTTAGGTTCTGGCTTGTATTATCTATGGCACTGTAAAGAAACTTCTGGTACACGTCGTGACAGGGACTGGTGAGGACATTGGGGTAGAACTGCGGTCCCGAGGGGGTGTTTTGCGAGGGTAAGAAACTACGCAGGTGTGTGAAGGACAGCTACATACATCATCATCTGGGACAGTCGTCAGGTGGTACTGTCCTGCTATTCGTTCATCCTAGGAAGCACGCATACGTGTTTCTTTTGTTCAACTCATGGGCAAAATTATATTACAGGTTGGGGATCTGGAAAACTTTGGAAACATCAAGTACTTATAAAAATGTTCTGGATTATAAAACATACCTCAAGTTCTGTGATATTCAATTCTTATCTTTAACCGTTTCTTTCATATATACACTAAAGTTTCTCGAAATTTTCTTCCTTTAGACAATTCGTATAGAGCAATACGTGACGCACACAATCTCGGTTAGCATGTTATAGTTAAGATGTGTGTGTAATGTGCACTGTGAGTTCATAGAAATGCTTTAGAGCACCAGCAATGTTTTTGGAACGAATAATCTAGCACACAACAAGAGTAAAAATATATTTCATGATACTATTTTCTTTATAAAAGCTCAGTGTGTAACAGACATAAATAACCCTTTAAAACCCATTGGTATGTATACGTTTCACATGCATTAACTACATTTTTATTTATATTTTTGTGTTTCTAAAAAGCAGAGATTACTTTCTTTGAATAGCATTAACTAGATGATCGAATGTAGACGTGTTTTGTTTCTTTTGAGGTACAAACTTAATTCTTAAATATTATTTATACGAGCTTCGGCTTCAGGTAAAAAACACCAAAGATTTTACAAAAAGAAAATATAATCAGAGTTAAATAGGACAATAAATCAGGCTGAGGAAGTATTGATGTTTGCCTTCTGGGTTGTGAAACCGAACAAACGTTTTGGTTCAAAGATGCCAACATCTCGTAGGAACATACTGCTTCTACATTTAGCACCGAAAGTGGAGGGAGTTATGTTCCTCCGAAACGTTTATAGCTATCTGCAATACGAGAAAGGCGTTTCCATAACACGGATATAACGTCGAAACAAATAAAATACAGAAAATCATAATATTAACCATAAACGCAGGTATGCAAACTTATTACACAAAAGCAATGCATTCAAATTAATTACATGACTAACTACTGCAGAAAAATGACATTCGTGATTAATTCTAATTAAACCAATCGTTTGTATAGCGCGATTTTTCCATAAAACTGTTTACCAAATCAACTACAGCGTTACAGAAGAGACGGCTGTACAGTGATGTACAGTGATGACCTGGCTCTGTTTTTGGAATTCCAATGGGACGAAAGAGTACATAATTTGTGAGGCAAGTTAGCACTGAAGCAGATCAGAAACATCATTATCTAACGGACCCCACGCAATAGGCAAGCTATCCTACCACCTGAAGACGGAGACTGATTTAAACTCCGTAACATAATACATATTTTAAATCACCCAAATTCTACACAAAATTCTACCACAATAGTACAGACAAGTCAAATGTACCTTCATGAACAAATAATTCTTTATTCAAGGCAGAGTACCTGCTCTGAAACGCGACCCTGGACCGGCCATCACAACTTGCAGAACACAATCCACAATCTGTGCATGTGTTCAGTATGACAATTAAATTAAGCAGCGATTGACGGAGCATGTAGCACGCGAGGGAAAAACTGCTGGTTGGTTAATCGTTAACGCAGATACGAGGGTACAAAGTTACAACCCTCGAAACTTGGTTTCTCTCTATTAAAACGTAGGCCCAACACATTCTGCGATTTGAGTTTTTGACATTAAGCCCTTCAACTCCTCAATAACTTTCATAACCACATAATAATCTCACACCGCGACCCTAAATGTAACTCGTCACTGTTAGGTCCGTAAAGCGGGGAGCAGAATGACCGACCATGAACTAACCCAATCCCCTCAGGGACTCATCCCATTGTTACTTTTTTATGATCAGGGGTGTATTTTGTAAGAGAGAGGTAGAAAGGTTCTGCCGCCCTGTCCTTGCATGTAGTA